ATTCTAAAAAACAAACTCGATGATTTAAATTTGACAAGATTACCTCAAGATAATCAAACCTGGCCTATTATATTCGAAAACCTGATAGGAAACTTGATAAGAAGCATGCGCGTGAGAAAAATCCACCTAAAATCATGGTTCATATTAATGCTTCTATGTCACCTCTGTATTATTTTAGAGGATTCTTACGACGGAGATGGTAAGTAGATAAAACTTTAAATCGCAACATAAAAGTTCTATTCGGCTGAGGGAGGTCTGTAGGCAGCGCTCGCAGTCCTGTTTTTTCAGATGTATTAAGTGTAGCTACGATGAAACACGGTAAACAAAACACAGGATTTCGGCTACGGTTTAATACGAAAAACTTCCCTTAACAACAACGGTTACATTACTTTTCCACTCGAACTTAAACCCTGCTTCACCTTTTTAACCGCGTGCTCGCACTTTTTCTATAAAACTGTCAATCAAAAAACTAAACCCGAAGATCATGTAAAAAGACTGAAATCTGATGATTACGAAACATACTGAATTGCGTGACGCGTGTCACAAGTCTTAAAAGGTCTCTTATCCATTTAGTAAAGCCATACGCTAGGTTGGTAAATGTTTTGGAGCCATGCTCGACGTTGCCTCGGGATCAGGGTCACTGAGTAAATTTAAAAAATAAAGAAGCCTTGACTGTGTTCTGTTCTGTTGTAAGCGGCACGCAGGAAGTGGCTAAAGCACGAAAGAAGTGTAAGGAGAAACACGAGACATAGTCTAGTATTTATCCCTACTTCTTGCCAATCAAATTCGTGAACTCGGTAGTTCCCAGTCCTTGTGAGACACAGCCATATAATAATAGGGGATACAGGAGGCTGTTTGTCAGTCAAATTATCTATTAACAGCTGGGAATTTTATCACGATATACCAGGTCTTAATCTGAAGTGATGATCAAAATACCAAACGTTTATATAACACCGTATTCAAATTGGCAAAAATATGTGATTTTGTTCCTGCAGGGTGTGCGCTCCAAGATTATAGTGATCAATGGGAGTTAAAGAATTTCGACTTCAGTGATTTCATCAATTCATCGAAGGCAGAATTCATCGGCCGACAGTGGCTGTACCAGGAAATGGAAACTGTTTTAGAGCACACTGAAAATCGTGGTGTTTTGATAACTGGAAATCCAGGCTCTGGTAAGTCTGCTTTCCTTAGTTATTTGCTTTGTTCCAGAAGATCAAGTCCACTTATCCACAGCAGAATTCTTGGGTATCATTTTTGCATGCACTTCGACAAAGGAACTCAGAATGGGGCCAAGTTCGTTCGAAATCTTGCCAACATGATCGCTTGGAAACTGGAGGAATACGGCGAACTCGTTGGGACTGATCCCTTTGTTCGTAGAGTATTATACAAGGATTGCCCTCAAGACTCGGAATGGTGTTTCGAACAAGGAATACTTACACCCTTAAAAAACCTTGGACTGCAGCCTGTGAAACCTTGGTATATTGTCATTGATGCCTTGGATGAGTGTGCAAATGACAAAGCAGAAGTTCTTAATATTCTTAAATCCAAAGTTCAACGTCTTCCAAAGTGGCTGAAGCTGATTTTGAGTTCACGGAATGTGAGCATCATCACCGCAAGTTTCGAAGGGCTGAAAAGAGTAGAGTTACAGTCGGACGACACAAAAAACCTAGAAGACATCGACACATATCTATCCCTCAAGGTGTTTTCTTGGAAAGATTCTCTCCTGCATAAAATTAAAACCACCCTTGCAATCACAAATAATGAGGCGCCAGCTCAGACAATTGTTTCAATTTTGACCGAGAAGGGTCAGGGAAACTTTCAGTTTGTTAAAGTTGTGCTGAACTTGTGGATGGCATCAACCAAAGATGTCAGTTTGGATACGTTTCCCCAAACCCTTGACACCTCTTATCAGTTGTACTTCGAGAGAAAGTACACCACACCAGAATCTTTTCAACCCTTGCGAGAAATTTTTGAAGTACTAGTTGCAGCATATACCCCCCTTACTATCCACGAAATACACCTACTACTCAAGCTTGAACACCCAGCTCTTGACCTAGAGTACGACCTAATGCCTAAACTTGACCTTGTATCTTTGTTTTTGTGGCATGGATCAGGAGAGGGTCTCATTCGGATTCATCATGCATCTTTATCTGAGTGGCTCACGAGTGATAACAACAAAGGGAAATTCTATTACATCAAGAAGCAAAATGGTCATAACCGTCTTGCAAAGTACTATCTGAAAAAGGCGTATGAAAACAATTTACCCCTCAAGCCGGATAAAGCTTTTCACCTGGCGAGTCATATTGTTGAAGGCGGTGTTTATGATTCTTTGGTGGAGCAATTTCTGTCTCTACCCTCAAGCCATATTAACACAAGCGACCCTTTGACTCAAATGACTGCACTTCACCACAGTTCCAGCTGGTTTAATGCAGATGTTACTAAACTTCTCGTGGGCCACTTTAGCGATGTCGACAGTGTAGACTACAACCAACGTACACCAGCGTTTATAGCGGCAACTTCTGGCTACTTAAAAAACTTGAAGATTCTGTTTGGTAGGGGTGCCAACCTCAACCGAAGAGCAGCATACTTGGATTTGGAAAGTGCCTCTCATTCCAAAAATCCCATTAAAGAGTGTAGAAGAAAGCTATGCGGATATTCGTTATTGCATACAGCCGCTCAAGAAGGTAACAATGATGTTGTAGCCTTTCTTATTCAGCACAAAGTGAACATTTTCAGCACAACTGGAACTAACAATACTGCCATGCAACTTGCAGCGGCAAACGGACATCTTAAAACTGTCCAGATTCTTCAGAGAGCTGGTGGAGAATTGGATGACATTTCACTCCATCACGCAGCCGCAGGGGGCCATAATGATGTCGTACAGTACCTACTGAAAGAGGGAATGGTAGATAATTGTGTCCAGAACATTCCGTTTTCGGGTTTTCCTGATGAAGAAGAGCTTGAATCGGAGTGTACTAAATTACGTCTGTATGATAACCATCATCTTTACCTACGAGAAACAGCCCTTCATGCCGCAATCGCTCGAGGAAATGTTGACGTGATTAAAACCCTGTTGAGCGAAAACCACAGTGCTATCAATTGTCCAAATTCTGCGAGAAGACTCCCCTTGCACGAGGCCGTTTACGCAAATAATTATAACATTTTAGAAACACTGTTGAAGTTTGGAGTGGATCCCAATGTTCAATGTGATGAGAGAATGTTATCATCGAGTACTGGTTCCCTCACAGTGGGCATGATGCTTCCAACTCCTTGTCCGTGTGGATTTGCTTCTTTGCACATCGCTGCTAAGCATGGCTATCATAGTGTTGCCGAGATGCTCATCAAATACAAAGCAGATCCTAATGTGTTTGACTGTAATGGTTCCACGCCACTTCACATCGCCTCCTGCCACAATAAGCCATCCCTTATAACACTTCTGGTCAACAGCGGAGTAGATATCGATGCAAGAAGCCTAAATGGATCGACACCCCTTCACAGCGCCGCGTCGTGTTTTTCAAAGGACATTTTCGAGCTTCTGTTTGACCTGGGATGTGATTACCGAGCAACTGATGACGAGGGAATGACGGCATTACACTATGTGGTAAAAGATATAGCACACGTAGGTTTTGAGTATTTTGCAGACTTGTACGTGACCATTCCTAGGGGTTGGATTGAGAAACATTCTGGAGCCTCTGAGACGATCATAAGCGAATTGGATACTCAATATCCTTGGTTAAATACCTTCATCAAGCTTGTTGAACTGGTTAGCAGGAAAGAAAAAGCTTATAAAATTACTGCTTTAGCCATGTACGACCATAGAAATCGAACCGTCTTCCATATATTAGAAGAGAAAACCAATGCTTTCATCTATCTAACAGGAAGCAATCGCCTGAGCGAAAGTTTCCTTGTGCTCTCCTTAACTCCTTTAATTCCTTCCTTCGACATCGTAATTTCTGAAAGGGTGAAGAACCGTGTTGTTGCTTTAAATAAGCCATACGAACAAGCTTTGGTTGCAAAGTCTTTAACGAGTGTCATATCGCGAGCATTTACATCAACATTTACAAAGTTCGACTGCTCATATCTGCTTGACTATGTGAGACTCCATCTTGTTCTCGCAGCTAACACCTTATTACAAGCGGGTGTGGACGTTAATTGTCGAGGAGCCTCGGGGTTAACTCCTCTGCTTGTTTATTTGCGTATCGGCGGCCGTCACATGTCCAAAGTTCTTGTAAAACATAACGTAAAAGTGGACATTGCATGTGGAGATCCCTTCGAGGATTCAGTCTTTCACCTAGCGTCATATCACAAACTGCATTACCTTCATTACCTTTACGAATATCTACTGGGAAGTGATAACTGGCATAAATATTTGCAGACAAAACATGCGTTGTTCGACTACTTTCTGGATAAATACGACGAGCCCGTTGAAAATCGTTAGATGAAAACAACTATGACAGGCGACGGACCACTGACCTTGGCTATTCTGTCTCATCCAGACGGTAGTAACGTTATAGATAAGTGTTTTGATGCAGAGGGCTATAACGCTTTACATAGAGCGGCTCAGGGTGCAAACTTGGTAGCAATTGAAAAATTCCTTTCTTTAGGTGCTAACATTAGTATAGAAACTCATGATGGGTTCTCCCCTTTATGGCTTTCAGTATTATATGCTGTAAAATACAGGCCTTTTTTAAACCTCGAAGTACCCAGTGCACTTACAGCTCTAGAGATTGAATTTGCCTCGCTTTCAGCCTCATCAATTTTAAATCATCTCATAAAAAATGGGACCTTGGATATTGGTTGTAGTGAAAAGCGTTCCGATCTCACCCTTTACCACGTCGCAGCTTCTCGAGGGATGTGGAAATTTATTGCGCATTTGCTCTCCAGCAGTAAAATTGTCGGTATTGATGTGGACTGTCCCAACAAAGATGGAATTACTCCCATGTACTTGGCGATGTTTATTGGTGGCGACTCGTACGAATGGCACAGTCCATGGTGCAAAGTTGTCGATGTGATAAAGAGCTACGGTGGTACTCTTCGATATCCTTCGCTAGAAGCAGAGTACTTTCTAATCTACAACATATTCTTTGGAAAAAATCCTAGCAAGTTGTCTCTTGAGCTTACGGAAGATGAGATACTTGCTCTTCAAGAGGGCTGTGGGCGTGAGGAAGACCGAGAGTATGAAGCGGCAACCGTCAACCTTTTCAGAACATCTGACAAAGTAGATAAAATTCTCATTGATTACCAAAAGAAGATGGACGAGTGTTCTTCCTTCAAAGAAGATTGTCCAGCCGACATAAAAAGGGGTTTACCTCATTTTACCTTTGTGGTGCTTTTCCTTGACCGCCAGCAGATCCTAAAATTAAGCTATTTTACCATTCGAAATAACTTTGTTACTTTCCTCGACACTCAAATCGAGCTACTGAAGGACCTTTTGTTTATTGCTTCCACTCCTCATGCACATATGCCTTGCGAAAATGTTTCGAAAGATTACAAACCAAAGGAAGACACCATTGATATGTGTCATCGGTTTAGTGGTAAGCAGCATCCTGATCAGGAAACTAGTCTTCACAAACTATATCGCTCTTATAAAAACAGTCTCGATTTAGTCTTGGAAACGTCGGATGAAGTGAGATCGCACATTCCTGTAAATGGAAAACTACCACGCTTTTTTAGAAAGATGAATTTTGCATTAAATGATTATGATGATTCTTTAAATTGTGATTGGCAAGCAGTTGCAACCAAATATATCCAGCTTCGTTTCCAGCGGCATAATCTGAACTATTGGCTTCAAGCTACACATGAAACGTCCACAGTACCAAGTGTATCGGGTTTTCTTTCGAAAAGAATGGAAAATGTTATTCTGCAGCATTCAGAAGAGTCACTTAAACTTGTTCTCAAACTTGCATCCGGGCGCCCGACTGAAGCTTTTAACTATCTAAGAATTCTAAGATTTACACGGCCACCTATGTGGTATGAAACATTTTCTGGTGTAGGAAACTTTGGGCAGAGCATGGGTCCATAGGAGAGTAACTTTCAAAGTTTTCAGTTCGGCTAAATTATAATCAACTGATCGATTCATACAAACTACTAAGAGACGTGGTTAGACGGACATAGAAAGAATAAGTACGTCCGAGCTTTCTATCCAAATAGCTCATAGAAAAAGTTGAATATTTTTCTTAGTTAAGGAAAGCAGATCGTGGATTAAACAGGTTTAACAGGCCGTCAATTAACCGTCTGTCTTCAGGACAGAACGTTTTTACTTCTATATCTTAACTTGAATTGAGGGCAAGGAGATATGTCGCTTTCTTGCTGAAAATTCAAATATCAACTTTTTATAAATTTTTATCAACGACAGATCGAGCTGCTAATCAAATATCTTTTCATAATACCTGAATAACATCACAGCTAAAATCATTTTCAAAAATTTAAATAGTCCTCTCTCTGCGAAAAACGCAACATTTCTCTCCGCAAAATCTACAGATTAGGTGCGATTACTAAATTCACTAAGATTTTTGCAATCCGTTTTAGTTTTAATATATCTTGTCAAGTATTTCAGTTAATAATTAGAACACAGCAGTAAAATTTGATCTTGTAGTCCGATCGTCCTGGTCATGATAGTGATTAAAGTTTGGACCACCTTAGCGGAAGTCATCATCAAAGTCTAGTACGAGTCTCCTGAGTATGACTTCCGCTCAGGTTGCGTTTAGGGTCCATTTAGCTTCTACACACAAGTGCAGCCTTGGCTAAGGTTCTCTGACTACAAAGCTAATCTACAGTGACTATAAGCTACAGTAGAGGAGATTGGTTAGGAATCCGACAGATTTCTTAGGTATGTAGGTTTTAGGTTTGATATTCCGATCGTTTTAAACTTACTGACCGATAAACTTCTCATTAATTCTCTTTAGTCTCAAACCGTAAAGTCAAAAGCAGATCAGTAGATTATTCATGATCAGAGAACTCCCATTGTAAATTTCAGCACCGTTTTTTTATCCTTTTGAAACTATGATTTATGCTAGCTTTCCTGACCAGTCAACTCCAAACTGACTACCGTAAGTGCCAGTAGTCAGTCAACATACCCCAGTAACTTTGTTAACGTTTTTACATAGAAATAAAGTATTTTTTGCAAGTAATTAGCTCCTTTTACACCTGCCATCCATTTAAAGTTTAGTAGAGGTGTTTCGATGGCGGTTCCCAGGACGAATTTCAATTCCATCGGACATCTCAGGTACTGAACAACAGTTACCGACATTACCAAAAGTTTGCAAACAAAACATAATTGAACTAAATCCTAGACAAGGATGAGTTTCCGTTGTTAGCTCGCGATCGTTTGTCCGGCCGGCCATGTTTAACTTAGAGTTGGAGTGCACAGCGTAGGGAGGGGTGGGTAAAGACAAGCTCCTCCCATCTTATTCCTCAGTTTTACCGTTGCTCACTCCCTTGGTGCAAACTTCTTCCTTTTGCCAGCCTTCCGCTGCTGTAAGAATCAAAGAAGGTAGCTGTAATTTTCACCAAGTAAACACTGAGTATTCGCTCGCCCAAATTTAAGTTTGCTCTGCAAACTACTTTGATATGTCACGCAACGCTTTAACACATATTCGTCGGACGGGTTGCGTGACACTTCAAAGAAAGGTTTCTGGGGACTTATAGGAAATCCAGCCCTGTGTAACTTTTTTAAACTCTTGTCTCATACTTCACAGATGCTACTTGACTCTGACCGAGAAATGTACGTTTTCAGTTACTGGCTGTAAAACTGGGTGTCGTTCTTATCAACTCTAAAACCATTATTCACTGCTCACGGATAATTTCTTGAGTAATGCAAATTTTCCCAAGGCATCAGGTCACTGAAAGGACTGAGAAACGTTACCTTCGAACTCGGTAAAAATGTATCAGCTTCGGGAGCAATTTCAGAATACCCGTCTACTTCATTTCGTTCCAGGAGTAGAAAATTATTTCATTAATTTTGTTTTGAATTTTTGGCTAAACTGCAGAATACCCGGCCACTCCTTTACATGTCATTGAATAAGAAAAGCGTCTTTAGTGTTATGCCTCGTTCTTCGAATTTTTAAAGTACGTACTTGATTCATAATAACCAAAATAATGTTATTGGTTCCACTTCATTGAATTTTAATGAGAATGAAACCACTTTGAATTTTTGTTTAAAAAATGTTTGGTCATTCCTATTGTAGACCCTTTTCAGTATTTTTCGTTGCCTTAGGTCGAGCAGAACTCTTGAGCAGGAAAAAATTATTGCCCAGATGTTTGTTATAAAAGTTTGTGGAGGACAACAATCGCAAAGAAGACATGTTTGTTGACGATTTGACGCGAATAGATATGTGTACAACACGCCGGGTAAGTCCATGAGCCTTCAAACTTTTGAATACATTCACGTACCATATAAATGCTTGCCAACAACTTTAAGATCGTATTGTCTTTCGGTGGTGGCGTAGCCACTGCCCTTCGACTCCTCACCGACGATCCTGAGGAGAGGGAAAATGGTGAAGATAGGGGGTTACCCTGGGTGACAACCTCAGATGGAATATCAACAGGCTGAGGATGATAACTCAGCTTCTAACGCCTGTACCTGTTGAGGGTATTAAAACGCGCTAGCGTCCCTCAGCCAGACCTCATTGCAATTTATCACGTTTTTTAAAATTGGTCAGGTCTGTTTAAGAATACGCCCGTGTTTTGTGGAGTAATAGCCTCCAGATGTATCTCGACGACTACTCGAAGCGCGTCAAGAAGCGCACCATGCGAATAATTTATCCATGTTGTAGCTACGATACAGCACTCTAACGGAGTTATATACCTCGTTTAGAGGAAGGGAGGCAGAGCGTTTGCTCAAAAACCTTTTGCAAGACCTGTGACTCCGCTTCCTGCTTGTTCGAAAACGTCCCACCGCAGGGTGTATCGTTAACGTGTTGTAGAACAGGGCGCTTTAAATTTAGCTTATCCCCAGCGATGTCTTTCAAGCAAAGTTGCAAAATACTAGCGAAATATAGCAAAGTAAATTCATAATTTGTAATGCATTTTCCCCATGATTATCACGTGTAAAGGAGTTTACGAAAACAATTTTTCAAGGAATGGTAATCTCAGTCCTCTTGGAATCTTGAAACTTACTTGAAACTACACACCATACGTAATTTGTAAAATAGGTTTTTATTTTTTTTCTAATTGTAGACAAGGTATTATTATTTTATTTTTTCATGATAAACAAAACCGTTATTATAAACAAGTTTTGCTGACCATGTTTTGTTTTTAGGCCAGGAGAGCTTCTAGGAACTTAAAGTGTCTGATGATATTCGCCGGGAGCACTCAACTGAAAACGATTTGCATCTTTATTACATCCATTTTGAAATCACTGGTGGTCCCTGCAATCTGATTAGCTCGATTTATTCACAAGTCACACCATTTTTTGCTCTTAATCGCATCATTTTATGCTTGACCGAGTTTTTGACACATGACGTCAAAGTCTTTCTGTTTTGCATACAAAATAAGATGTAAATGTATTTCCAGTTCCGCTTTTTATCTAAAAACCGGCTCAGTACTGCATCAATAAAATATTTGAATTGACCAAGTTCTGTATTTGGGCCATTTCAAAATGGATGTAATAAAGTGGTAATGGAACCTCGTGTCGTGCAATTTTGCTCTGAAATCATACTTGTGATTTTGAAAGCACGCGTATGATTTCAGCCCAAATTGCGCTCCACTCAGTTCAATTACCAATATTAATTTCAAAACAAAGGATGAAATATTTGAGCAAAGAATAGAAAACTGCTTCTTCCCACTT